AATAACTCTTATCAGAGTTCTTAACTCGTTCAGAGTTCTTCAACACTCGTCAAGAGTTCTAACCGAAGTCATCAAACACTTCAGTTATTCCAGTGAAGAGGACGGTCGATCGTCACGAGAGCGCAAGTTCGACGCGATCAATCGAAGGAAGCACTCCATCGCTACAAAGAAGAACCCAGTCTTAAACAAAGGAGAGAATCAAATCCATTCTCTTCTCTTTTGTAATCGGAATCCAAATTGGTAATCGATTTTGAGAGAATACAAGTCAAATTTTCTTTCTTTGTCTTTTTACATCAAATTTCCTACCAACAGTGAAGACCATCCAAAATTTGAGTATTCACTCAATGAAGATAGATGTGGAGAAATTTAATGGCACTAACAATTTTGGTATTTGGAGATGTGAAGTCTTGGATGCACTCAACGCACAAAATTTGGAGGATACTTTGGAGTTGGACGGGGAACCAGACGACATTGAGGAAAAGGTTTGGAAGAATATGAATCAAACGACGTGTGGTGTGATTAGGTCTTGTTTAACTTAAGATTTGAAATATGATGTGAACAATGAGACTTCGGCAAAGAAGATTTGAAAGATCCTAGAGAGCAAGTATTTGACGAAGAGTGTGGAAAACCACTTGCATTTGAAGAGGAGGCTTTATTGCTTCAAATTGAAGAAGGGAACCTCCATTTGTGATCACATGAACAACTACACGAAGCTTCTTGCGAGTTTGGCGAATGTAGACGTTATGATTGAAGATGAGGACAGAGCATTGTTATTGTTGAGTTCCTTGCCCTAACGAGGAATATGAGACCTTAGTTCTTACTATTATTAATGGGAATGCATCTTTTTCGTATAGTGAGGTCACCGCTGCACTTATAAATTATCATCTTCGGAAGAAGGATAAGGGGACTTCGATTGATACAGTAGCATGGGTATTGGTCGCAAGAGGGAAGAGTTCAAACCGTAGTAGGAGATCACAGTCTAGAGGAGCACACCCTACAGTCGGTAAGAATCAGTATGCCTTTTGTAAAGAAGATGGACATTGAAAAGCCGAATGCCCAAAGTTGACAGATCGAACCGGGAAGAATAAGGGAAAAGCTACTCAAGCTTCAGAGGTGAATGTTACCAATGCTAGTGATGATAATTCAGATTCGGATTCTTCAGACTATTCGTGCCATGTACTACCATCAATTTGTGTTGCTGACTCTACAGAGTGGATATTGGATTCAAGTGCTTCTTACCATATTTGCCCTAGGAGGGATTAGTTCTCCAGCTTTGAGGAGTAGGAAAGAAGGGATGTCGTGCTCATGGGTAATGAACATGAATTTCTTATTGGTGGTATCAGTACCGTTCGTATTAGGATGTGTGACGAGGTGATTCGGGAGTTGGATGAAATGAGGTTCGTTCCGCGGTTAAAGAAGAATATCATTTCACTTGGAGTTTTGAAGACAGCAAGCTATCGGGCGACCTTAAAGGATGCATCTTTGAAGGTCACATTTGGGCCCGTGATTGTGATGAAGGGCATCAGAAAGAAGAATTTGTACTATTTGATTGGGAGCACAGTGATTGGTGGAGAGCTGATGACTTCTTTGAATTTGGCTAGACTGTGGTATTTGGTGATGCTGGGATATTTAATTATTGATGCTATGTATGGATTGTTGAGGAGTGCTTTGACTTGCAAATTATAGTTCTATGAGCACATTGGTATGAGCAAGAAAATCGAGGTAGAGTTTGGCATTTCTATTCACTGAGCGAAAGGTCTTCTAGGTGGTGTTCATTAAGGCATTTGGGGGCCTTCCAAGGAGGCATCATTGAGAGGTAATAGGTATTTGGCTTCCTGTGTTGGTGACTGTTCTAGGTATTTATGTGTTGCAACCAAGTCCTGTTGATGTGAAGTCCTAGTAGTCAACAACAGGTGAAAGAAGTGTATTGGCAGAAAGGTAATATGTCATTCTTTTTTTGGTAGGGGTTCTTTTCTGCATTTGTACCAAGCTCACGGCAGTTTGAGACACTTCATTGGAGAGCAAACATTAGGGCGACGAGATAAGGTGGCAAATTTATGAGTTGTTCCTTGCTGGAGGAGGATCGACATTTAATGTCGAGCATTGGTTTGCAAAGGAG